CTGGCTGACAGACAAAAGGCTTATCGTAATATTAGTCAACTTAATATTACTTGTGGGGGTTGTGGAAGCTACGAGGGGGAAAATGTGAGTGATAATAATATTTTAATAATGATGACTTAAAGAAAAGTGAAATAAAGGGTTGAAACGAGAGACAGAGACAGAGACAGACAGACAGACACAGAGAGGCAGAGGCAGGGAGAGAAAAGAGAAAAAGAAAATTTAAGTGTATTTTTTGTACAAAAAAATGTTGGTGTTTATCCCTTAAGCAAAGATAAGAAAGTGTTTATATAATTATTACTTCCGTTTCTTTTTTTGTCTTAAATATAATGAATTAAAAGACAATTTAAACAGCGTAATACAAAGTCATGTTATGACATTTTTTCTATGAAAATAATACCTTTAGAATAAATATTGTAGTTGGATATAGTGACTCGACATAAAGAATCTTGTCTTTATCTTCATCAAGTAAAGAAATAAAAAATGATATTTATATATAGATGGAGCATTATCAAACGTGGCAAAATTTATACACTTTTTTGAAACAGAAAACAATGTTTTTTGAAAATAAATAATGTTTTTTTTTCTTCAGTCTGCAAATTCCAGATTTCTTAACATTCTTATTTAACAAATCAAACATCATCTTATAAAAGAGACAATCCTAGTCTTTCACAGTGAACACAAATGTTCTTTTATAAGTGAACCTTCTTGGTTTTCCCTTTTTCTACAAGTTTCTACTTATAATATTTTCACAATCAGATTTGTGGCTTAATATTTTAAATGTATAGTTTCAGTAATTTTAGTTTATTTTATAAATACTGTGACTTTTGTTGTAGAATTTATTGTGTTTGTATTTTTACAGGAGATAGAAAGAGCGAAGAAGAAAATGAAAGAAATAAAAGGAAGGAAGGAAAGAAGAAGAAAAAGAAAAAGACCAGAGAGGGGAAAGAAGAAGGCCAGAAGGAAAGACAACGGAAAGAGAAGAAAAAGAAATTGGAAAAAAAGAAAAGAAAAGAAAAAAACAGATAAATGAAGAAAAAAAAGTAAGTAAAAAGAAAGAAAGAAAAAAAAACACACGAAAAAATGGGGGAAAAAATATATCTAAAACTAGTAAGATTTATATCCTTAATATAAAAGCAAAGGAAATGAATACATAACATTACCTATTGACTTTCAAGCAATATGGGGATACCGAAGCGTCTCCGACAACATTAACTACAAGTGTTGATACAGTATATGGAAATGCTACGAATCGAGTCTCCATAAATCTCAGAAGTTTATTGAAACTCCCATTAAGAAAAAACCTCAGTTCACATTTTTTTTCTTTTTTTTTCTCTCTTTTTAAATCTAGACCAGTGTGAAGTGGAGCCCCTTGACAAATCAGTTAATATAACCAACTTTTCTTACTTTCGACGGAGGAAAATGCACTCCACTCCCGCCTGGCCTTGAGCATAAATAAGAAATGCGTTGAGAGGGAAAGGTAGAGAGAAAGAGAGGGAGAGGGGAGAGAGGGGAGAGGGGAGGGAAAGGGGGAAGGGGAGAGGGGAGGGAGGGGTGAGGGGAGAGGAGAGGGAGAGGGAGAGGGGAGGGAGGGGAGGGAGGAGAGGGAGAAGGAGAGGGGGAGGGGGAGGGAGGGGAGGGAGGGAGAGGGGGAGGGGAGGGAGGAGAGGGGGAGGGGAAATGGGAGGGGGAGGAGGGAGGGAGGGAGAGGGAGAGGGGGAAATGGGAGAGAAGGGAGAGGGAGAATGAGAATGGAAGGGGGAGGGAAAGGTAGAGAGAGGGAGAGGGAGGGAGGGGAGAGGGAGAGAAACGTGAGAGAGGTGGGAGGGAGGGAGAGGGAGAGGGAGAGGGATAGAGATAGAAATTGAGATTATGATATATGTATAAGAAATAAGAGAAAGCGAAAGAGGGAGGGACGGAGGGCGCGAGGAAGCGAGAGATAGATAGACAGATAAATAGAGAGGGAACGAGAGAACAAGGAGCAAAGTGTGGGGGAAACAGGACAAGAGAAAAGTAAAAAGAAAATAAAAAAGAAAATTAAAAAGAAAAAAGAAAAAGAACAAAAAGAACTCGAAAAGGCCGAGAAAAAGAGAGAGAAAGAAAATGCAGAAAGAAAGACCGAAAAAAAAAAACAAAATAGTAGAAGGTAATAGGAAAAATAAATATGCACATATCCCTACAATAAGATAAATCTATAACTGCCGGTGTAAGTATATTTTTTTCAAAACATTTTCTAAGGAATGTCAAGAAAACCAAAAAAAAAAAAATGATAAGGGGAAGATACCAAACCGAAATCAGTGGATAAAACTTGACAAAAATGGGTAAAACAACAACAAATTTAATAAGGGAAAAAATACCAAATCGGAATCAATGGATAAACCTTGATAAAAATGGATAAAAACAACAATCATAGGGAGAGAAACCCAACACGATACAAAAATGCCAAAATGTGTTTACCGATATAAATTATTTTGATAAATTAAATGATGATGAGATACAAGTGTGTGTGACGAACGTGGATATAAAAATGATGTGTAAATTCGGTGAAATTAAAACTCGAATTCTAGATAAATATACACGAGAAGAATTGTTTTAGAAGAATGTGTATTTTCCTTTCGAAAACGAGGGAAAAAAAACGAAATACGAAATTGAGAGAAATTTTCTAAATGGGTGAGAATTGAGAGGAAGATTAGATTGGAAATAGGTGCAATAATGATAATGGAATAGAAAAATAATGGTAATCATGGTAAGAATAATGATAATGTTAATAATGACAATAATAATGTTAAAATATTAATAAATAATCATAATGATAATATTAACAATAATAATAATGATGATAGTAGTAGAAATTGTTCCAATACTGAAATAAAAACAAAATGGATGACTTTCAAATACTTGACCTAAAAATGTCTAAAACCATTGTCTAAAAAAATAAAGGTTATTAATCTGAAATTTACACAACTGGACACAACAACAACAATAAAAAAAATGTCAGTAAAAGGTATATATCCTCTCTTTTTTGTCTTTCAAAAGAACTCCCAAACCAAAGAAAAAGGAAGGGAGAAAATAATACCGATAATAAGAGTCCAAAAAACAAAATGCAAAAATAAAAATCATCTTAGGATAGGATACGAACACACAACTCATTCTTACACCGGACAGCTTATTCGAAAACTCTTTAAAAAAAACAACTTTCCTTCTACGAAAAAAAAAACGAACACTGAATACAATCCCTAGTAGTAATAAGTGTTCTACGCGAAGCTCCAAATAGCAACGTTTATCCTTTAGTAAACAGTAATAATAATAGTAGTAATAATATGAAACGTTATCCCTCCCCCAAGTGTTTTTATTTCGTCTCTATGGTGACTAAAATATAGGATTAAAAATTCCCTAAAGTATGCATGGAGGAATCTAATGGATAACAGACTAATACTTGTCACACATGCCTTGTATTTTTGAATCTAGGCGGGAAATTCTATAGAGGCGAGACACTACTGATCTGGCTAGCGTTCTGTTGTCAGTATCATACAAATAGTAAAAGCTAAACGGTATTGAGTAGTAATATAGAGTTTCGGATTCGCTTTTCAAGACATTATTATGTTTTTTTTTATTATTATTTCATCTATATATCTTTTTTTTAAATATTAAGCATGGAGAGAGGAGGGAATTTGACCTTACGGGAATAAAATGAGGTTGAAATTGGAGTGAATTAGTTTAGTTTTCTTGTGTTTGACAGGTATATGTAAAAAGAAATTATAAACTATTGTTGTAGAAGAGTATATATTCATTATGTTAGGAAAAAGGAAAGATAAAAAAGAAGAAAGAAAATGCCAACAGATTATTATTATTATTAACATTTTCCAAAAGTAGTGTGATTACTTACTAACATTTCAAAAATTTCAAAATCCAGGGAAGAAATATCAGCTGAATCGATATAAATTTCCAAGCCTTCAGTTGAGATTTTTAAAAATCTGTTTATTCTAAAGTGTATATATATATATATATATATATATATATATATATATATATATATATATATATATATCACACACACAAAGTACTTGTACAACAGGTAGCACTTGAAAATCCTAGTCGGCCTAACTGCTGAGTTAGCCCTGTCCCTCCTACCATTATTTCTTGCAAATGATAAAAGGGTTTCTTTATTTCTTTAAAATGCTTTATTTACCATTCATATTACTGAACAGTTTTCAGAGAATATAAATTGACAAAACACTTTCCGTAACATATCACACAGATTGATTGCAGTGAAAATGGGGCGGAGCTAAATGACGTCATCGGAGAGAGCCAATGAGCGTGTGCTGTGGGATACCAGATAGTGCTGGACAGATAATTATTTGTATAATTTACTTGATGTTGTTCCAACTACTAGAAAACAAACCTTTCACAATTTTATATATGATAAATTGTTTTATGAACAGCCATCAGAATACTTTGGGGAGAAGGTCAATTCCATTTTTGGAAGTGCTGTGGTGCTACCTATCTTTTTAAGTACCTTGTATGTATATATATATATATATATATATATATATATATATATATATATATATATATATATATATATATGTACGTATGTATGGCTGTATGTATTGATGTAAATATGTATATCTGTATGTATGTAAGCATGTGTATATATACATATATATATATATGTATGTATGTTTGTATAAGTATATACATTTGTATATACATACATACACATATAAATACCATAGAAGCAGTAACATATTCCGAAATTCCCAACCTCTCCACACTTCCACAATACACACCTCAATAACAATACTTTTGCATTGATTTCCACCATCGATAAAAAAGAAAAAGAAACAGGAAAATCAAACCCAAAATGAACAGGAGGCATAGGATATACAACTGCAATATCTCGCTTTAAACCTAGCTATATCTTGTATAAACAGTTACACTTATAACTTATAGTTACACTCTCACTGTATGCCAGCGAGAGGGCATAAAAAAACCGTGTCCCCTTTTTTCTTCTTTTCTTTTTTTTTTAAGGAGCGAAAAAAAGAGAGCATATTTCGCCAGCTAAATGATTGTAAGAGCGCCAAAGATTCGCGGAAGATTCGCTTTAGGCTCGTAGTCCACCGCCTCGGAGCTGTCATGGCGTCTCGGAGAAAATATTTCGGGAATTTTCTCTCGCTTGCTTCACCGGCGCAGTCTGGAAGGGAGAGGAGAGGAGATGCTAAAAATTAAGTTGATTTAACTGGTTTTATTTGAGTATAAAATTTGGATTTTTATTTTGTTAAACTTTAAGACAATAAATTTAGACAATGACAATATCAGCGTTGATTTTTTTTCACCTACAATTTGATATAGAAAGGAGAAGAAAGGATGAGGAGAGGAGAGGAGAGAAGATGAATAAATAGATTGATAGATAGATAGATATAGAGAGAAAAGAGAAAGTGTAACGATAGTTAAATAGAGAAACAGAGACAAGAGAGACACAGAAAGAAAAGACAAAGAAAACAAAGAAAGAAATGAATTAAAAAACGAAAAACAATGAAATCACACATGAAAAGAAAGAAAGAAAAATAAATAAAAAAAATAAATAAATAAAAAATAAATAAATAAATATATAAAGAAAGAAAGAAAGAAAGAAAGAAAGAAAAGAAAAGAAAAGAAAAGAAAGAAAGAAAGAAAAGAAAAGAAAAGAAAAGAAAAGAAAAGAAAAGAAAAGAAAAGAAAAGAAAAGAAAAGAAAAGAAAAGAAAGAAAAGAAAAGAAAAGAAAAGAAAGAAAGAATAGAAAAGAAAAGAAAAGAAATATATAAAGAAAGAAAGAAAGAAAAAAATTATATAAAGAAAAAGAAAGAAAATTTTATATATATATATATATATATATATATATATATATATATATATATATATTATATATATATATATATAATATAATACATATATACAACAGTACCAGCATACCTACCTGCCAGTGTCACACCAGTCTCGGCTTCAAGTCTTGCTTTGAGCTCGTACGCCTCCAAGACCCCGTGGCTCCCAACAACACAATGAACTTCACATCTCATTTGTGGAGACAATTTTTTTTCCTATCATTTGTTCCACCTCGTTTATCATAGGGATTGCCCCGATCCTTATGAACACTGTAAACATTTTCCTTCTGTCTTCTTTGTTCCATTTATTATTATTATCACATGTTTTGCCCCTGGTTTGTATTCATCGGCAACACCAGGGAGCGCGTATGTAAAGTGGAGGGTCAGTTTCCCAGCCATTTTATTTTCTCTTTATATATATATATATTTTTTTTTCTTCTGCTGGCTACAGGGCGCGAATCTTTCATGTTTTAATATTTATTATCACTGGATAACTTGGTCGGGTGGGGGAGGTGGATGGGGGGGGGGGATGGGGAGGAGTGGGGAGCAGTGAAGCGGGAAATAAGGTTAGGAATATATGTTTATATATAACGGGATTTATATGCGTGCGTGTGTATATCTATGCATGTCTCTATCTGTCCATCTATATGGAGATCTATCGATGCATATAGATAGATAAACAGACATAGATATAATTATAGATATAGATATATACATGCACAGCACATTGTCTGTACGTAATTATCAAGTACAGTAATTTCCTTCACACGAACACACACGATCTATGAACCGACCAGTCCGAAGAAGGGAAAAAGCGAGAAAAAAAAACAAAAAAGAAACGAAGAGAATTATGATAAATAGGGAAATGGAGGAATTCAAAAACACGGGTCAATTTTTTTTTATCCCCCTCTCATATTTTTCCTTCCTCATCCTTCCTTTCTTCCTCTCTCTCTCTTTCTCTCTTTCTGCTTTTAAAATATAATTTTCCAATTCTTTCCTCCCTCTCTCTGTTTTCTTATAATTTTTTTCCAATTCTTTCCTCCATCTCTACTTCCTTATAACATTTTGTATCCAAATATTTCCCTTCTGTCTCTCTCTCTATCTGCTTTTTAAAATATATTTCACCAATTCTTTCTTCCTCTTCTCCCCTTCGTCCCCGGTTCTTAGAGGAGGTAAAAGCACCAGTAAACTGTGTTAAAGAAGATGAAGGAGAGAGGGAACACGACCCGCGAGTACTTGTCGATCACGTTCACGTCCTTGATCACGGGCATGGCGCCCTTGATGGCAGAGGCGCCCTTCTTCAGCGTGGAGATGACGCGCTTCCGGCTGGGTCCCTTGGGGGCGTGGATGCTCGACCGGGTCGGGAAGGAGTAGTTGCGGTTGATGCGGAAGGAGGGCGGGAACTTGAGGTCCTGCAGGGAGCCCTCGCTCGAGAAGAACTTGGAGTTGTGGCGCTGCCTGCGGGAGGGGGGGGAGGGGGGGGTGAGACTGGTTTGATTGTACGGAGGTTGATGCAGAGATACAAAGAGTTGCACACGCACACTCACACACGCACGCACACACACACACACACACACACACACACACACACACACATACACATATATATACATATACACATATTGTGCTTAAGGTCACACAGGATTATCACTTACTTAGATAATAGCTTGTATATTTTTCTTTGGCCAGAAAATACACACACACAAATATATGTATAATTGAATCTAAATTAAGCCATATATATTTTTTTAAATGCATAAAGAATAAAAGGTCATCTTGAACCAAAGTGTTTAGGCAACTTTAGAGAATTATTAAAATATATTTTTTAAATTATAGAACGATCTCTCACCAACACCCCTCCTTTATCATTCCCCTCTCTCCCTTCCTTTCTTCCGTCCTTCTCCACCTCTTCCTGCTCCTTCTCTCTCTTTTCTCCTCTTCTCTCTCCCTAACTTCCTAAGGAACCCCTCCCTAATCCCAAAAACCCCTTCCCCTAGCCCTACCCTTGGCCTACCCCTCCTCCCCAGCACTCATCCCGTTACCCCCCAACCCTTACCTCCCCACTACTACCCTACCCCTTCTCCTTATCGAGGGAATGGGGGACATCCTGTTATCCTGCAACACTCCTTACTCTCTTCCCTCCCTACCTCCCCAACCTCACTCCCAACACCCATCCCTTTCCAATCCCCCCACCCCAACACCCCTTCCACACACCCACCTTACCCTCCACCTCCCTTCACCTCATCGAAGGAATAGGCGGGATCTTTGATATCCTACAGCCCTTCCCCACCTCCCCCAACCCTTATCTACCACCCTACCCCTTCCACCCTCCCTTTCCATACCCCCAACACCCCACCAATCCCCCTTTCACCCCCACCTACCCCTACCCTCCACTCCTACCCCCACACCTTATCGAAGGAATCAGCGACATCCTCATATCCTGCGGCCCCCCCCCCCCAACCCACATCCCTACCCACCTCCCCAACCCCTTATCTACCACCCTACCTCCTTCCACCTCCATCCCACCCTACCCTCCACCCCCATCTTCCCTTTCCATACCCAACCCCCCACCCAACACCCCCTTCCATCCCTTATCGAAGGAATGGGCGACATCCTGATATCCTGCAACCCCCCCCCACCCCCACCCTACCTTCCCCTAACCCCCCCACCCCCTCCCCCCCAACCCCCTTCTACCCGCCCTCACCTTATCGAAGGAATGGGCGACATCCTGATATCCTGCAACACCCTTCCCTTCTCTACCAACCCCCTTTCCCCCCACCCCCACCCCCCCTCACCTTATCGAAGGAATGGGCGACATCCTGATATCCTGCAATCCCCCCCACCCCCAACCCCTTCCCCCCCCCCACCTTATCGAAGGAATGGGCGACATCCTGCAACCCCTCCCCCCCCCCAACCCCCTTTCACCCCTACCTCCCCACCAACCCCCCTTCCATCCCCCAACTCCCCAACCCCTCTCACCTTATCGAAGGAATGGGCGACATCCTGCAACCCCTCCCAACCCCCAACCCTCCCCTAACCCCCTCCCCTCACCTTATCGAAGGAATGGGCGACATCCTGCAACCCCTCCCCCAACCCCCCTACCCCCATCCAACACCCCCCACCCACACCCCCAACCCCTTTCCATACCCCAACCCCCTTTCACCCCCACCCTACCTCCCCTCCCCCAACCCCTTTCCACCCCCTCACCTTATCGAAGGAATGGGCGACATCCTGATATCTTGCAACCCCTCCCCCACCCAACCCCACCCCCCCCCAACCCCAACCCCCCCCCACCATCCCACCCCTCCACCCCCACCCCCTCACTTATCGAAGGAATGGGCGACATCCTGATATCCTGCAACTCGATGATCTCCTCGTTGGGCGTGAAGCCGTCCACCTTGATCGGGGGCGGCGGCGGCGGGTGGGGCGGCTGCTGCTTGTTCTGCCCGTTGCTCTCCTTCATCTTCTTCGTCTTCTTCTTCGCCCTCTGGCCCCAGTACGTGTAGTTCACCGCCGCGTACTCCAGCAGCGCCGCGAACACGAACACGAAGCACATGACGAGGTAGATGTCTATGGCCTTGACGTAGGAGATGCGAGGGAGGGAGGAGCGGACGCCCGTGCTGATGGTGGTCATGGTGAGCACGGTGGTGATGCCTGCGGGGCGGGGAGGGAGAGGAGGGAGGGAAGGAAGGGAGGGGGAAAGGGGGAGGGGAAGGGGAGGGGGAGGGAGAGGGAAGGGAGGGGAGGGAGAGGGAAGGGAGGGGGAGGGGAGGGAGAGGGAAGGGGGGAGGGGAGGGAGGGAGGAAGGGAGAGGGAGGGAGGGGAAGGGGGGAGGGGGAGGGAGGGAAGGGAGGAAGGGAAGGGGGGGAAGGAGGGGGGGAAGGGGGAAGGGTAAGGGGAGGGGAGGGGAGGGGAGGTGAGGGAAAGGGGAGGGGAGGGAAGGGGGAAGGGGGGAGGGAGAGGGAGAGGGAAGGGGGGAGGGAAGGGAGGGTGAGGGGGAAGGGAGCGAGGGAGGGGGGAGGGAAGGGAAGGGAAGGGAAGGGAAGGGAAGAAGGGGAGGGAGGGGAGGGTGAGGAGAGAAAGAAAGAGAAAGAGAGAGAGAAAAAGAGAGAAAGAGAGAGATAGAGAGAGAGGGAGGGAGGGAGGGAGGGAGAGGGAGGAGGGAGGGAGAGAGGGAGGGAGGAGAGAGAGAGAGAGAGAGAGAGAGAGAGAGAGAGAGAGAGAGAGAGAGAGAGAGAGAGAGAGAGAGAGAGAGAGAGAGAGAGAGAGAGAGAGAGAGAGAGAGAGAAAAGAGGAGAGAGAAAGAGAGAGAGAGAGAGAGAAGAGAGAGAGAGAGAGAGAGAAGAGAGAGAGAAGAGAGAGGAAAAGATAGAGAGGAAAAGATAGATAGATAGATAGATAGATAGATAGATAGATAGATGGATAGATAGAGAGAAGGGTGAGGGGAGAGGGTGAGGCGAGAGTGGT